AGATAAAGATAAGATTTTACCATGTAATTACCTCTTTGAGTCAACAAAGGACTGTTTTAGTTGAAATTTAGGAGGAGATTACAGTTATAGAAGGAAGTTACCAAATAAGTGCACAGGTGGCAAAAATCTAGAAGGAGATATGACTTAATCAACTATTGAACTGTTTCATTACCTCAAGAAACCATCCACAATTTTGTAACTGCAAAAAGTGGGGAGTTACTATCGGTAAAAGGAGAACAAAAAGGAAATTTTGGAAGGGAGAACACACGGTCAGCCCTACTCAAACACCTGCAAATTTTCAAATTTTCATTTTATCTGCAATTGCTTCCAGATTTCAGATTTTAGCACAATTTCCAGTAGATCTAGATTGTTTTTCATCATTCCAGTAAATAAATTAATTCATGTATTCGCTTCAACAATTTTGTTTCATGCAATGAACTTCGATCTTTCAAATTTCTTCAAGGTACTGTTCCTTTTCTGTTTGCAATTAGTTTAATGAATATGATAAGTAGCATTTTTTTAATAATTATTTATATGGTGTTCATACTTTTTTTCAACTTCAAGCATGTTAATTTAATTCTTGTTCATGTTTGTTTTAATTTTAATTAGGGGTAAAATCTCCAATTCTGTAGCAGTTTAATTTCTAGATCTGTAAGTAGATATCATTTTAATTTAACAATGAACATGTTTAATTTAATTTGAATACATCTTGTTCACGTAAATTTACTTTAAATTTCATATTATTTAATTTAATTAAGATTTGTTAACTTTAATTCACGGTAGTGTTTAAGTGCTTGGAGTTGTTCAAGGCAGATTTCGTAATCCATTCTGCAAGAAGATATCCCTTTTTTTTACAAATCGTTTGTAGGCGTAAATTTCAAATTTAGTCCAATGTTTTTTTCGTCATCCGCAAAGAGTTCGACTATGAGGAAGAAGAAGGTCATTTGAAAAATCATTCTTTCTTACTTTCAGCAAAATAAGTAACACGCTCATATTTAGATTTCGCACGTGCGAGGTCACCAGAGGATTTTTGGGAAAACAGGTTTATTTGATTTTTTTTTAAATAAAGGACCTATTTAATTTTTTTTCAAAAGTCTAGGGGGGGGGGGCGAGTGCCCCCCCTTGCACCCCGCTGGCTCCGTCCCTGCTTATAAGGTTGATGTCATTTCCTGGGAGATAGTGCTCTAAGAATAATTCAGCTGTAATGGTTGATTGTTATGAAATATTATGTTAAATGTTAATTTTAGTCTC